TTTTGTGTGGAGACCCACTGTGTGACTGAAACAGCTGTGCTGGAGACTCATGGTGCTTTTCTGCCCAGGAATCTCCTGGTCTGTGGTCAGTAAAAATTCGTTTGGAAATGCGGTGATCATTCACCCTCTGTGTTTTGGCTGGGAACTGCAATCCAGAGCTGTTTCTATTCGGCCATCTTGGATCCTCCTGAATTGTGTTCTATTGGGTGAAAAGTAAAGCTTGTAAGTCATGAACTTGACTATTTAGCTGAGGAGATTTCCAAGCAGTGTTGAAAGCACAGCCTGGTTTCTCTTTGCCGCTTATAGTAAAATATGAGAAGAAAGAGATAAATTGAAGAAAGAATTGTTAGGAAAAAGGTACCAGAACTTGAAGAAGTAGAAAATTTTCAGCCTATCCATGTGGCAAAAATTTAGAAAGTGTGCCCTGGAGAGAGCACCAAGGGTGTGTCTGAACAACCAGTTACTAAAGAGATTTGGTGTGTGACTTGTGGATCCAATCAGCTGTCTCACTAGAAATGCTTCCAGGTTGGACTGAAGAGGACAGAGACAGGATAAAATGAAGGAAAGCTGTTGGACTTCTGAGATTCTATAAGCAGGAAATGTGATGGTAAAGCTTGACTGTGCACATGTGTTATCCTTCAAGAAAAGGGAAGAATGGCCCAGAACAAGAGAAGACTCTACAACAGATCCAGGCTGCTGTGCAAGCTGCTCTGCCACCTGGATCACATGATCCAGCAGATCCAATGGTGCTTGAACTGACAGTGCAGATACGGATGCTGTTTGGAGCCTCTGACAATCCACTATAGGTGAATTGCAGTGCAGATCTTTAGGATTTGGAAGCGAAGTCCTGCCATACTGTAGTAGTAGATAACTACTCTCCTTTTGAGAAATACTTTTTGGTTTGCAGAGCAGCTTGCACAGCAGCCTGGATCTGTTGTAGAGTCTTCTCTTGTTCTGGGCCCCACTGAAAACTAGCTACTTTTTGGATAACTTGGTAAATGAGCCAGAGTAGCATTACCCACATGAGGAATGTGTTACCTCCGAAATCCAAAGAGGCCCAGTAGGCATTGTGCCTTTTTTTTTTTTTTTTCACTTATAGGAGGGGCCAGGTACAATAACTTGTGCTTTGCCATAGAAGGGATGTCTGGACATGCTCTATACCACTGGACCTCTAGAAATTTCCCTGAGGCGTAAGACCCTTAAATTTTTTTTCAGATTTATTTCCCACTCTGATACGTAAATATCTTACCCATAAGTCTAGTGTAGTTGCTGATTCTTGCTCACTAGGTCCAATCAGCATTATCTCATTAATGTCATGAACCAGTGTGATATCTTGTGGAAGGGAAAGGTGATCAAGATGACTGTGGACTAAATGATTACGTAAGTCTGGAGAGTTGATATACCCCTGAGATAGGAAAGTCCAGGTGTATAGCTGGCTTTGCCAGCTGAAAACAAACTGCTTCCAGCAGTCTTTACTAACAAGCATCTCTCTCTCTCTCTCTCTCTCTCTCTCTCTCTCTCTCTCTCTCTCACACACACACACACACACACACATACACACCCCCCATTTGTGAGATCAATAGCTGCATACTGGGTACCAGGAAATGAATGTGTTAATTTGCTCAAGCAATGAAACCACATCTCAAAGAGCAAGTGTAATTACAGTCACCGCTTGGTGATGTTTACAGTAATCTACTGTCATTCTTCAAAATTCATCTGTTTTCTGCACAGGTCAAATAGGCAAGGTGAATGAGGATGTAGTGGGAATCACCATCCCTGCATCCCTCATATCCCTGATGGTAGCACTGATTTCCACAGTCCCTTCAGGAATGCAGTATTGCTTTTGGCTTACTATTTTCCTAGGTAGAGGCAGCTCCAGTGACTTCCACTTGGCCTTCCCCACCACAGTAGCCCTCATTCCACAGGTCAGAGAATGAATGTGGGGATTCTGCCAGTTGCTGAATATGTTCCTTCCAATTATGTATTCGGAAACTGGGGAAATAGCCACAGGATAGGTTTGGGGACCCACTGGACGCACTGTGAGATGGACCTCAACTAAAACTCCATTAACCACTACACTTCCGTAAGCTCCTACTACTGGTGGACCATAGTGGTGTTTGTGGTCTCCTGGAATTAGTGGCAGTTCAGAGCCAGTGTCCAGTAAATCCCAAAATGTCTGATTATTCCTTTTTCCCAATACATAGTTATCTTAATAAAAGACCACAGATCCCTTTGGGGAACACTAGGAGAAAGATTTTTAAGAGTCTAAGTTTTTGGTAGTGTACCAGGGTCTTTCCCTAAGGAAACCTGGTTTCCCCTTCATTCACAAGGTTCTGGGTCTGAGTCTGCAAAAGGGCTCAAGCCTGGGAATTGATTGAAGGGCTGCTTATATCAAGAGAGTCTAAAGGGAAGATCAAAGGTGGCAAAAGGAAGAAGGAGGAGCAGAAGCAATGGGAAGGGAGAGGTCTTGGAGGAGACTGTTTGGGGAGAGGTAAAGTTTCCCAAGGAAGCCCTTGAAGTTCCAAATTATCCTTATTAAAATAATGCCAACACGACAGGAAACAGGTAGAATTGGTGGAGCATTTAGCCAGCAGGGGTTCAAAAAGGAGTGTTTTGGTAGACTGACACGTTCCCATGTTTTTTAACTAATAGTACTTTTATGCTTATAAATAGAGAAACTTGGGACTGTCACCTAGCTTCTGTTCCTTACAGAACCCAGCCTCTTACAAAGAGAGAAGCCTAGGAAACTAACCCAGCCTTTCCTTGCATAGGACTCTAACTTAGCTTCTTATAAACAGCTGCTTACCTGGAACTCTAACCTACATTCTAGCATGAGAATCACTTGAACCCAGGAGGCGAAAGTTGCAGTTAGCCGAGATGGTACCACTGCACTCCAGCCTGGGCGACAGAGCAAGACTCTGTCTCAAAAAAAAAAAAAAGAATCAAAATCTTTCCTTACTTTGCTTCAGTGGACTGTCACCCAGAGGACTGGTTCAGGAGTCAGACTCATCAATGGGCCCCCAATCAGTCAGGAGTGAAGATAAAGTTCAAAGGTGCATACTTGAGAGGTGAGAAGTCTGGGGTCCAGTGATCAATCTGATCTTACCCGAGTTGTGGCTCTTATCCGAGTTGTGACACCCAAACTGTCAAAGAAAACCAGAGCTGGCCAGTAGTTAAAGCAGTGAAAATAGATTTTATTCAGAACTATTACAATAAGGGAAAAGCTATCTCGGTATGGAACTGGGCTCAGTTGCAAATACAACATGGACAAGTAGGGATTTATAAATATAACCCAGGAGCACAGTGGGGCCAGTAGATAGAAAATGACTAAGAGGAAACATCAAGGGAAAGGGGGATTGTTACTAAACTGACCTAACAAGATTCTTGCTGAAGGCAGGCGAGGGTGATCAAATATTATGTGGGGGATAGTAGAAGATAAGAATTTGATCAGATATCGAGGGCGATCGGATATTGAGGTTAGGGGATTCTAGCTAAACTGATTAGCAGGAATCTTACTAAAATTGGGCAATGAAAAGATTTGCCCTTTGTAATCGTGAGCAGTTACTCCAGCCAAAACCATAGCTCCCTTGTTTGCCAGTTGATTCAGGGGCATGAGGGACCCAAAGTGGTTGGGTGGGAGTTTTAACTTATAGTTCAGTAGAATCATTGTGTGTCTCCTGGTGGAAGCATTTCTCCCTTTGGAATTAAGACCTCTAGAACAGCAGAGCATAAGGTCACAGAGACAAGTAGAAAACATTCTGCTACTGGATCATTAGGGGTAATAGTGAGGGGTGTCATTCTTGGCCCAGGGCTGCCTGCCACCCGCTGGGCTCAGAGGACAGATCATGGAGCCCATGAGATTATTCACAAGCCTTAGAATCTAATCAAATTTTCCCTGCTAGGCTTCAGACTTGGGACCCGTGATCTCTTTTTTCATTCCAGTTTCTCCCTTTTGGAATGGGAATATCTGTCCTATGCCTGCCCCACCGTTGTATTTTGGAAGCAGAAAACTTGTGGTCTGGTTTCACAGGTTCACAGATAGAGAGGAATTTTTCCCCAGGATGAATTATACCCTGTCTTATCCATAACTGATTTGGATGAATCAGATGATGAGATTTGAGACTTTTAGTTGATGATGTCGAGATGTGAGTTTTGACTTAAGGGTTGATGTTGGAATGATTAAGGCTTTGGAGGATGTTGGGATGGGGTGAATGTATTTTGTATGTGAGAAGGACATGAATTTTGGGGGACTAGAGGGCAGACATTTATGGGTACAATTTTGTCTTCCCCAAAAGCTATGTGGAAATCCTACCCCTAAATACTTCAGAATGTGGCCATATTTGGAAATAGAGTCTTTACAGAGGTAATCAAGTTAAAGTGAGGTCATTAGGGTGGGCCCCAATCTTATCTAACTGATGTCCTCATAAAAAGGGGAAAGTTGAACACAGAGATGTGCACAGGGAGAACACCATATGAAGATGAAGGCAGAAATTGGGTTATTACTGCTACAAGCATGCATAGAGGGAAGACAGTGAGAAGATACCCAGGTAGAAGACAGCCATGTCACTGGAGTAATGTATTCAAAAGCCAAGGAATGCCAAAGAGTGCCAGAAAACACTAGAAGCTAGAAGATGCTAGAAAGAGTTCTCTCCTAGATCCATCAGGGAGAGCATGACCCTGCTGGCACCTTGATTTCTAACCTCTAGACATAAGAGACAATACATTTCTGTTGTTGTAAGCCACTAGGTTTTGGTACTGTGTCATGGCAGCCTTAGGACACCAATACAGAGCCTCGTTGAGGGTGTTTCCCGTCACCACCACTGAGCTATCTGGGACATCTGAACTGTGTGAAGGTGTCTCCCTTGATTTGTCTGAGATTCTTCAGTCCCTTTTCACTGCTGTGATTATTACTCAGTTCCTAATGAAATGTGGTTAGTTCTCCAAAGAACAAATGGAAAGCAATTTGCTGGACCCAATTCTCTATCACGTCCTGTTAACAGGGTTCGAAGTTCCCAAACCAGAGGTCATCTTCAAGTTGGAGCAAGGAGAGGGGCCATGGACATTGGAAGGGGAAACTCCACATCACAGCTGTTCAGGTGAGTGGATGTGACTCAGGCAGATGGGGACATGAAGTAATTTTTTTTTTTTTCCTAATGAAGACTGATACCTTTAAAATGCTGTTATTGCTTAAAGGTCGGTAACTTTAGCAATTGCTTGAGGATAGGCAGCATTGGCCTCTCGGGTGCCAAATTGTTCTCTCCCTTTATATCTCTTACTGTTACCACCTGTCTTCTTTGTTTAGCTTTCTTCTGGGAGAATTGCCTCAATTCCTATACTCTGGATCACATGCTAGGCTTCCTCACTAGAGATCTTGCTTCCTTGAATATTCTTTCCTTCCATCCCATTTTTATGCATAATTCCTTAAACCACACCCCAGAGTCTTAGATTCTTATCACATGCATTTCAGTTTTACTGGATTTGACTTTTTGAAAATCAGTTGGTTGCCTCCCTTCTGTTCTTCCTAGCACTCTTGTACTTTATTCTTTCTTTTGTTCTCATCTTCTCACTCTAAGGCACCAACAAACTCTTTTCTACAACCAGCCTCACCTCCCATTGCCTTTGTAAGTATCGCCTTCATTCCTCACTCCTCTCCACCTTCCCATGGCCTTGTGCCTCTCTCCTGCAATCTGACTTTATGGTCACTGTCACTTAGCATTTCTTCTTTTAAAATCTATTTGATTAATGGATTTTCATAAAATGTGTACAGAATGAAGTGTATTTTAAGTGGGCAGTTTGATAAGTTTTGATAAGGGTATACACCAGTATAACCACCACCCCATCATGATATATAACATTCCTTCACACAGAATGCTTCCTCATGCCCCTTGTAGTCAGTACACACAGCCCCAGGCAACCACTGACATGCTTTTTGTCACTCTGGATTGGATTTGTCTTTATTAGGGTTTTATATAAATGGAATAAAACCTTACATACTCTTTTGGATCTGGCTTCATTTGCTCACCATAATCATTTTGCAATTCATCCATGTTATTAAGTATAGCTCTGGTTTATTCCTTTTGAATGACGAATAGTATTTCATGGAATGAATATATTACTATTTGTTAATCTCTACACCTATTGATGGATAGGTGGTTAATATTTGGTTATTGTGAATGAAGCTGCAATGAACATTCTGGTATGTCTTTGTGTGAACATATGTTTACCTTTTTCTTGGGTAAATACCTAAGATTGGAACTGCTAAGTCGTATAATCAGTGTATACTTACCTTTATAAGAAATTGCCAAACTGTCTTCCAAATTGGCTGTACCATTTTACATTCCCAGTAGCAATACGTAAGGATTCCTGTTGCTCCACATCCTTGTCAACACTTGTTATCATCAAACTCTTTTTTATTTTTGCTATCGTAATGGATGTTGTGACTTCAAGTTGCTTTTCTCTTATGAGAATAATGATGATCTCAAGCATCTTTTTATGTGCCTATTGACCATTTGTACATTTTTGGTGTGAAATACCTACTCAGATATCTTTCTCATTTTTTATTGGGTTGTTTGTCTTCTTATTCGTGAGTTTTAATAATATTTACTGGATACAATTCCCTTGCCAGAAATATGTATTGCTAATATTTTGTTCCAATCTGTGGCTTGAAATTTCATTTTCTTGTTGGTGCCCATCAAAGAGCAAACATTTAAATTTCGATGAAGTCCAATTTATCATCTACTGTTAGTACCTTTTGTGATCTGTTTAAGACATCTTTGCCTATCACAAGGCACAAAGATTTTCTCATACTTTCTTCTATAAGATTTATCATTTTAACTTTTTCAGTTAGGTCTGTGATTCATTTTTCAATACTGATGTCTAATTGTTCCAGAAACATTTGTTGAAAAGGCTTTCTTTTTCCTGTTGAATTTCCTTGGTATGTTTATCAAAATCAGTTGACTTTATGTGTATGAGCCTGTAATCAGGTCTCTCTTTTCTGTTCAATTAGTCTATTTGTCTGTCTGCTTTAAAATATAGGTTTTATTATTATTTAGATATGATGAAGCCAACAGATCAGCAGACAACTGCTATTGGAAAGATAGTTTTTTACAGTTCCTAAGAGGCAAGGGCATACCACACCATGCAGAGCCACACATACCACACATGTGGAAGCACCAATGTCAGTTAGGTTTTGTGGGAAGGAATAAACCAGGCAGGGTCAACACGCTAGGCAGATTTAAAATTGACTAGTTTGAATAATTCCACTGGGCTCTAGGGTATAGGGACTGTCCCTAGTTGCCTGGTACCTGTCCCTGGGGTGATTAGAGCAGGAGGATAGTGGCTCAACCTGTGAGAGCTCAATAAAAGATGTAGTTGTGGGTTTGGGCTATGTGTTGGCTGGTTTGCATATGACAGGCATCTTCAAGGTCAAGTTATTTCCTAATCTGTAAAATTAGCTATCCCTGAGAGGGGCAGTCTCTCCAGGATCAGTTAAGCCCCAGATGCCAGAATATCAAGGACACAAAAAATAAGAAAATATAGTTAATACATTATCTTTTTAGCAAACTCATACTATCTTTATCACCATAGTTTTTACAGTAAATCTTCAATCAGATAGTATAAGTCCTTCAACTTTGCTTTTTAAAAATTACTTTGCTCTTCTAGGTCATTTGCATTTTTATATACATTTTATAGTCAGTTTGTAATTTTTACAAAAAAAGCCTACTAGGATTTTGTTTGGAGTTCAGTTGACTCTGTAGATCAATTTTAGGAAAATTGACATCTTAACAATATTGAGCCTTCTAACCCATGAACGTGGTATATTTCTGCAATTATTTAGATCTTTAATTTCATTTAGCGGAATTGTATTGTTTTCAACATAGATTTCAGTTCGATGTTGAATGGAAGGGGTGAGTGTGGGCATGTTTGCCTTGGTTCTGAAATTGTGGGTAAAAAATTTAATCTTTCACCATTAAGTTAAATACTAGCTGTAGGTTTTCTGTACCTACCCTTTAACAGGTTGTGTACGTTCCTTTCTAATCCTAGCTTGTTTCAGAGTTGTTGTTTTTTAAATCATGATTGAGTGTTGAATTTTGTCAGATGCTTTTTCTGCATCTCTTAGAGTGATATTATATGAGCATTTTTGTTCTGTTACTATGGTGAATTCATTAATTTTTAAGTGTTGAATTAACCTTGCATTTCTGAGATAAGTACTAGTCGATCACGATGCATTAGCTTTATTATATATTTTTGGATTCTACTTACTGATATTTGGCTTAAAAGTTTGCATTTTTCACGAGTGATTTGGTTTATGGATTTCTTCTCTTTCAATTTCTTTGTCATGTTTTGATATTACGGTTATACTGGCTACTAAAATGAGTTATGAAGTGTTCCCTTCTCTATTTTCTGAAATACTTTGTATGAGATTGTTATTTCTTTTAATTTTTCATGGAATTAACCAAGAAAGCCATTTGGACCTGGAGTTTTCTTGACAGGAAGGTTTTAATGGCAAGCCCAATTTTTAAAACAGACATAGGGCTATTCAGACTTTTTGTTTCATGTTTTGCCAGATATAGTAAGTTGTACTGTTCAAGGTATTTTGTCTGTTTCCTCTATGTTCTCCAATTTAATCCTGTTGTGGTCTCAGAGCATACCCTTTATGATTTCAGCATCTGGTCTATCTAGGGGAATGTTTTGTGCATCCCTGCAAAGAATGTATATTCAGCTGTTGATGGGTGCAGTGTTCTATAATCTATAACTCAAGTTGGTTCCATGTTGTTAAAGTCTTTTAATAATGTGTTACTGATTTGTCTTCTACTTGTTCATTCAATTATTTGTAATTTGGGTGGGTTAAAAATGACAAAGAGATTTTAAAATTTATATGGGTATGCAAAAGACCTAGAATGACAAACACAGTCTTGAGGAAAAAGAGAAAGTATGGAGGATTGACACTACCAAATGTTAAGATTTACTATAAAGTTACAGCAATCTGGACAGTATGGTATTGGTGTAAAGACAGACTAATGTATAAATGGAACAGAAAGGAGAGACTAAAAATAGGCCCATTAATATACAGGCAACTGATTTTTGACAAAGTTGCCAATATAATTTGAAGGGAGAAATCTTTTCCAATCGTGCTGAAACAAATGGATGTTGTTATTAGGGGGAAAATCATACTTTGACCCCATACCTCACATCCCTATACAAAAATTAATTCAAGTTCTAGTATTATAGAATTGTTTACATTGAAATAATCTGCTAAGCAGATAAAAAATTGTTAACGCTGGAAAACGTATTTTAAAAACTACTGCAGAGTGTTATGGTAACATGGTATTCTGTTATATTGTTCTGAAGAATGTCAGTGTCCTTATCACAGCAGGCAATTAACTAGGTTAGATTGACAATGGAAATGCTGTGTCACCTAAGGCAAGTGGCAACTCAGGTCACAGTTCAGCCCTGCTTTCAGTTTTCTCCAGCCATGCAAGGTTGAGGGGTCAACCAGAGACTTAGGCAGATTTTATACAGAGAATTGGGAATTTGCTTTTTTTTTATTCTTTCTTTTTGAGTTGACCCCTTAATCTCTAGTGGCCCTGGGTACCCAGGCCTTCTTCCCCTAATTCCTCTCGCAAAAGGATGACAAGCTTTAATTGGAATTTTAGCTGTTCCACATTGCTGCTAAGAGTGCAGCTACTCTCAACAGAAACCCGAGAAAAGAGGGAACTCACTACATGCTAGTCAATTCCTCTAACTTTTGACTCCCTTCCAAACAATGCCTGCTTTTGTTTGATTTTTTAGGTTACTTTTGTTTTGTTTGTATTTCTAGAGATTATATTTACTATCTGTAGAAGAGTCTTTTTTAGAAGCTTACTTCTTCATACTGGAAGTGGATCTCTTACCATTGATCCTTGTACATTGACCTTGTATTCCGAGACTTTGCTAAATTTTTCTTGTTAATTCTAGCGGGTCTTTTTGTGAATAAATACTGTAAAACTATCTGCTTACATTATCATATCTTTCTGTCATTTCTTTTTTAGTCTATATGATCTTTGTTTTTATTTTATCTTGCTCCCAATCTGAAGGCAAAAACTTCCCATCTTTC